ATACATGAATAGGGCTGATATACATGCCGATATACACTGATATACATCAGTTGTATACCAAAAACGGGAATTGAATTAAAGCGTAAAACTACTACAAAATTGGCCCAAGAAGGGGCCCAATTTCATTATCTCGTTTATTATTCTAAGTGTTCGATTGTGTGTTGACTAATCTTATTTAACTCTAACTTTAAATAACTTAATTAGATTCCCCAAAAGACGAGTTATTTCTTTGTGTTGATTTATTTTAATACATTTTACTTGTTGTGCTCACTTAGTAATCAAATATTGGTCGAATTCTATATTTTAATTAAGTTAAATCTTTGAGCTTAAAAGGATATGTTTTAAGGCCGCTTCACTGGATCACATCTTATTTTCTGAAGTTGTTAAGTTAAAATATTTTTCTCAAATAAACTTTAAAAAATGTTAGTCAAAACCCTTTTCAATTAAAAAATATAATATATATATATATAATATATATAATATTTACTTAGTCATTTTCTCAAAAAGGTTAGTTAAAACTTTTGTTCTTCAATTAACTTAATAAATTGATTTAAATTATTATTTCAAAATGAATTAAATAAAATTCTAATTAATCTAGTTTTATTAATATTTTAACCACTTGTATTTTGAGTCAATTGTTCCATTTTTGAGTCATTTTCTCTAAAAATAATTAAAATAAAATGTGTCATTTATTCAATTATTTTCTCAAAGTTAATCAAATATTGTAAGTTAGTATTTTTTTATGTTAAATCATTATTTTCCTAAAAATAGTCAAATATATTTTAGTCAAGTCGCAGGTCAACCGCATGTTAGCGGACACTTCGAATGCTTAAACCCTTCTCGAAGTGTAAATTGAACCCCGAACCCTCTTTGGTATTTTCAAATGATTTTTTCTGTTTAAATCTTTGAAAATTATAAGTTTTCTTAATTTCTTTAAAAAATTAAGTGGCGACTCTTTTCTAAGTATTTCTCAAATTGTTTTATACTTAGAACATTTCAAATAGTGATTTTTCTAAATATAGTAAAATTTCGACACAACACCTCTACCCCTCCGCGTACCCTCTACAACCAGCCCCTCACACCTCTTCACTGGGGCGTCTGCGCCCCGTCTCTTCATATGACCAAACCATCTCAGTCTCGCTTCCCTCAACTTGTCCACCACAGAGGCCACTCCCACCTTCTCCCGGATAACTTCATTCCTAATCTTATCACTCCTAGTATGCCCACACATCCATCTCAACATCCTCATCTCCGCAACCTGCATTTTCTGAACATGAGAGTTCTTGACTGGCCAACACTCCGCTCCATACAACAAGGCCGGTCTAACTACCACTCTGTAGAACTTACCTTTAAGTCTAGGTGGAATTTTCTTATCACATAAGACTCCAGAGGCAAGCCTCCATTTCATCCAAGCAACCCCAATGCGATGTGTGACATCATCATCGATGTCACCACTTCCTTGTATTACAGACCCAAGATACTTAAAACTTTCTTTCTTAGGGATGATCTGTGTGGCAAGTCTCACTTCTACATCTGCCTCATCCAACGCATCACTGAATTTGCACCCCAAATATTCTGTTTTGGTCCTACTCAACTTAAACCCTTTGGACTCAAGCGTTTGTCTCCACACCTCCAACCTCGCATTAACTCTGTCCCGCGTCTCATCAATCAGTACTATGTCATCCGCAAATAACATACACCATGGGACCTCCTCCTGAATAGACCGCGTCAACTCATCCATCACCAAAGCAAATAGAAAAGGGCTAAGGACTGATCTTTGGTGCAACCCCATCTCAACTGGGAAATGTTCCGAGTCACCTCCAACCGTTCTAACCCGAGTCTTGGCTCCACCGTACATGTCCTTTATCGCCCTAATATAAATCATCGGGACACCTTTAGCCTCCAAGCACCTCCAGAGGACATTCCTCGGTACTTTGTCATAGGCCTTTTCAAGGTCAATGAACACCATATGTAGGTCTCTCTTCCTTTCTCTATATTTTTCTACGAGTCTTCACATAAGATGAATGGCTTCGGTCGTCGACCGTCCCGGCATGAATCCAAACTGATTCTCAGAAATGGAAACCCCTCTTCTCACCCTCATCTCCACCACTCTCTCCCAAATCTTCATAGTATGGCTTAGCAATTTGATACCCCTGTAGTTGTTACAGTTTTGGATATCACCCTTGTTTTTATACAACGGAACCATTGTACTCCACCTCCATTCATCAAGCATCTTTGTTGTCTTAAAAATAACATTAAACAACCCAGTCAACCACTCTATACCTGCCTTGTCCGTGCTCTTCCAAAAATCCACCGGAATCTCATCGGGTCCGGTCGCTCTTCCCCTGCTCATCCTACTAATAGCACGTATAACCTCCTCGCTCCTAAAACACCTGCAATACCCAAAGTCCCGAAGTCTTTCCGAGTGTGCCAAATCACCCAACACAATGTCTCCGCCCCCTTCTTCATTTAGAAGTTTGTGAAAGTATCTTCGCCATCTCTGCTTAATGGAGGTCTCATCCACCAATACTTTGCCTTCCTCATCCTTGATACACTTTACTTGGTCCAAGTCGCGCGCCTTCCTCTCTCTTGCTTTTGCGAGCCTATACAATTTCTTATCCCCACCTTTGTCCCCCAGCTCGACATACAAGCGCTCGAAAGCTGCCGTCTTAGCCTTCATAACTGCTAACTTAGCTTCTGTCTTCGCTGTCTTATAGACTTTCTTAAGCGACCGCTTCTCTTCCTCGTCTATGCACTCCACCAACTTTGTGTATGCAGCCTTCTTCGCTTCCACTTTGCCTTGGACTTCCCCATTCCACCACCAATCTCCTTTACGACCTCCAAATTTACCCCTTGATACCCCTAACACCTTTGAAGCAACTTCCCTAATGCAACTAGCTGCTTTATTCCACATGGTGTCCGCATCCCCGCTACCACTCCAAGCCCCCATCCCACTCAACTTCTCACCCATCTCCCGAGAAAGGTCAGGAGTCAAGCCACCCCATTTAATCCTCGGTCGATCATATACAATCTTCTTCCTCTTATCCCTCTTAATTTCCAGGTCCATCACCAACAGCTTGTGTTGGGTAGTAACATTTTCACTTGGGATAACCTTGAAGTGCACCGTTTCATTGAAGACAGACACAATTGAAGAAACATAAAAATAACACACACAAAAAAAAACTACATGGACAATGAAATTAAAATAACTGATAGTTTAATTTCCTTTGTCAATCTATAGAAGATTCATGACTATTTTCATTTTTGCTCCTCCATAAGTCATAATTCAACTACCACCCAACATCTACAAAGACAGTATTACAGATTTCAGTGTTGATGAGGAACATAAAATGGAAATAGACCAACTTCCTAATCCTTTTAGTCTGTGCAAAAATATCCTTAATCATTAACACTATCCTCCCCTTGATAGTTTTCTCTAGCTTGTACATCTTCGTTCCATTTTCTATCGGTTGGTCTTTCCCATTTTCAGCAGGTTGATCTTTCTGCTTAGCCTTTTTTCTAGATTCTTGAGCGTTCATGATCCTGACTTCCTTTTAGATTTGCTTTCTCTCAACTCTGTGAATGGGAACAGAGAAAAGAAAAGAGCAAGGAAAATATAGCAATGAGTTCGCCACACTGAAATATCCTTGGAGAAGGATTATGTAAGGGTATCATAGTGCCTCAATTTGGGCTAGATAACTCAAACAACATAGTGGACACTGAAAAAGTTTGAATTACTTCAAAGCAAACAGAATGTTATCATTTAGATATTCATTATCAAAAATACCACATGTATACACATTAAGCATCATATTGGCCTTGGATTTTGACTGTACATCAGAGATATTAATTTGTACATGATGAGCTAATAACATTTATCTAACAAGTCTGAAACATATCAGAGGAGGTAACTAAAATCACTCAATATGTGGCCTACTAGTCAATGAAGTGCATTGATGTAACCCTTTTCAATGTCTTGGCTACCTGATTGAGAAAGTGAGGTGACATTTTTTGGACCCTTAATCTCTGTAGAAGAGATGAAAAATGTGGAACAACTTTCATGATGGCGAATAATATTCCAGTCTACAAGGCTTGAGGGAGAACATAAGCTTATAGTATAATAGTTAAGTATGATGAAGAGTGAGAGATAAATAACAAGAATGTATAAATTGTATTAACGATTAGGTTAGATATTTTATCTACACATGCTGAACAGTAGTTAGTTGTTATTAACTGTTAGGATATTTTATCTACACATGTTGGTTAGAAGTTTATTAGGAAGGTAATAATAGAATAGATTAGCTGTTTCCAGCTGGCACTCCTTTCACTTGTACATATATATCACACATCAGAAATGAAATGAAGTAATGAGTTCATTTCCCAGATTGATTCTCCAAATAATGGAGTTGGTTACTCCTCCTCATATTTTCTCAGGAACGCAGCAAATCCACCATTGAAGTTCAATATTGAGCATGATCAAAGTTTGATAATTGCGCTTGAGATGAATCTCCAAAGGCAATAAACATCCTGCTGACATATATTAAAATATCAACTTTCTGGAGCAAATTATCTCAATTCCTACCTATACTAGATTTATTTTCCAATGTTTCAGTGCAAATATAAAGATTTCATCCTGAACTTCAGAGGCAATAGATGCTACTCATGCTACACACTGATCAAAAAGATTTAATAACAAAAAAAATTAACAAACAAGCAAAGAGAAGTTGCTAAAAATCAGAAGATACTAAAAAAATAGAATAACTTACATCTATTGGAGCACCACTCGTTTTAATCATTACAGGTACTCCCAATAACATTATAGTGGAAATATGAGCATTTTTTAGCCAGAAAGCCCCCTTATCAAACTAGACGTGGTTAAAGCAATAGAGGATCCATACTGCTCCACAAGATTTAATAAAGGAAAAGAATTAACAAAAAACCAAAGGGAAGTAAACAAAAATAAAAAGCTTCTGAGGGAAAATAAAAAGTTACATTTGTGAGAGCACCATTCCTTTTAATCATTACAGGTATTTCCAATCGATCTCTATGGTGGAGATATGAGCAATTTTTTGCCAGTACTCCCCCTTGTCACATTCTAGTAGTGGTTTGAGCAACGGGCAGTTGTAAATATGTAGTTTAGAGAGGGAAGAGGGCATCCCTTTTACTGGAAGGGACTGGAGATTAGGGCAATACCCGATGGTCAGCTCAGAGAGGGAGGGGGGCAGAGTTGATTCTGAAAGAGATTGGAGTTGATTGCAGTGCCTGATCTCTAGACGTTGAAGCGAAGTGAGGTGTCGAAGACATTCGGTCGGTAGTGAAAGAAACTCATGATGGTCATCTAAACGTAGCTCATAAAGAGATGAGGGAAGCCCTTCTTCCAGCAGTGACTGAATTTGAGGTAAATAATAAGTATCTAGATACGCAAGAGAGGTGAGGCTTTTGAGAACTTGACTGCTTAAAGTTTTCAGATTAGATATGTAAAGACGTTGAATAGAGCAAGGCAACTCCCAATTCTCACCAGCAAGAATCTCTTCATCACTGCCATCGTGTTCGATCCTTAACTCTCTAAGACAGGGGAGCCTCTGTAAACGCCAATTCTTTCGGCCATTCACCAGTTTCTTGCAATTCCAGATTAAAAGGACTTGTAAATTGAAGGGCAATCCTCCTTCAGGAAAGGACATCATTTCTGGACAATTAAAGAGTTCCAGCGTATTAAGAGATGGAAGGAGTTCCTGCATGCGTTCAGGCAGCCACTTCAGCTTCTCACAGTTTTCAATATTCAAAAAACGCAACGACATCATCTGAGCCCCATATGCCACTGAAAGTATTTCAAGATTCTCACAAGACCAAATAGTGAGACTTTTAGTCTCAGTAGGAATCAAAAGTCTAGTAAGGCTGTGGCAACGCCCAACTATCAAAGTGCCTACTCTTGGGACCAACTCGGGTGATATATCATCTATGGAATCACATCCATCCAGTTTCAACTCCTCGAGAAACATGTTATTAGTAATCATCTCACCAACTGGCATCTTCAATTTCAGTTTCTCGCACTGATATATGTGTATTCTCTTCAAGGTACTTGGCAGAATGCTAATAGGTAAGGAGGTAAGCGAGTTACAATCAGTAAAAAACAATTCAACAATATGTTTCATTTCCTGAAGTTGGGATGTAAACAGTTCAGTGTCATCAAAAAGAACTCCAACCTTAGGAGAACTAATAACTTCAAATATTTTTAAAGTTGAAAGTTGGATAGATGTCTCCAAGCTGAGTTCAGGGCATTTTGAAATTCTCAATCCTGTCAGAGAAGAAAGATTTTCGGGGAACTTCTCAATCAACTTGGGGCAATCCTCAACTGAAAGGATCTTAAGTGCAGGGAACTCTCCATTCCCTAGTACATGCCACCGCTTCCACTCCAGCATCTCTGCAAATTCAAGCTTCTCAAGAGAGTTAAATGGCTTTTTGGAAGACAAACTACCATAGAATTCTTGAGTCACCTCTATTATTCGATGCATCCTTCTAATGGCAAGGAATTTCAAAGAAGGAAGTTGTCCCAGTGCTGGCAAGGAATCACAGTCCTTGCAGTTGCTAAGAGACAATTGTACTAGCTTAAGAAACGATTGATCAGCTAGCCAGTTTGGGAATTTTGTTCCTCTATATCCACCGATTTGGAGTTCATTTATGTTTGTATTTGGTTGTAGCCCATCAAGTATTTCCTTTTCATTTTTAGAATTGTCAGCAATACTTCTGCTCCACTCCAATGATAACATCTCAACATGATTCTTCTCCTTCATGTTTGCCTTCAGAGCTTCCCATCTATCAACCACATTTTGCAACTCTAGAATTGATAGAGATCCAAACAAGTTATGTACTCCACCCAAATCATCCATTCTCGAACCACCGCGGCCACCTAGAAGAAACTTGGCTCCCACTAGCACATGGAGGCTTTTCAACTTGCTCAGATGTAGCGGCATCTTCAAGCGAGAAGTGTTGCTTATGTCAAGATAATGCAAGTTGATCAACTTTTCCATCTGCAGTGGTAGCTCCTCAAGATCATCACAAGATGACAAGAGAAGTATCTCTAAGTTATACAATACACAAATGGAATCTGGCAACTTTTTAATCTTTGTCCGAGAAATATCCAAAAATCTGAGGAGCTTTAATTTGATAAACAAGTCATTTGGCAACTCCACAATCTTATAAGGTGACAACGATAATGCCCTTAAGGATGTTAGTCTTGGCAATACATTATGCAGCACCCTCTTGCTTAGCTTAAATAGGTAATCCCGCTGGATACTGATTGGAAGCAATGTCCTCAGCTGCTCTGATTTGAAGAGTGGTTTCAATTTCTCGAAGTCACCTTCTCCCGTTGAATAAGAAATGTGTCGACTTTGTTCCAACATATGAGATCCTTGGTTCTCTTCCAACCTAATACAAAGATTTGAAGATGCAATTTGGGCCAAATCGTTGACAAGGTCATGCATTAAGAATTCCTCTGAATTCCATTTAGAAGACTCTGGGATTCTTTCAAACAATGATCTTGATCTCAACTCAAGAAAGTATTGGTTACCTGAATCCAACTGCGGTACAAGACCATTAGCAATCCATAGGTGAATAACTTGTTCTTTGCAAAACATATAATCTTTGGGATATATTGCACAAAAAGCAAAACACCGCTTCAAGTGTGCAGGAAGATCATTATAGCTCAACATCAATGCTGGTAAGATACCATTCGAATGACTTGGCAGTTCCCATATTTCACTTCTTAATATGTCTCTCCACTCATTCAAATCTGATTTGGAGCGTAAAATGCCAGCAAGTGCCTTTAGAGCTAATGGCAATCCTTTGCACTTGTGTGCAATTTGTTTTCCAACCTCTTCAAGCTCTAGATGTTCCTCAGGACCCCTGTTTTCTAATGAATGTCGTTTGAATAAAGCCCAAGAGACTTCACTAGACAGAGTCCCCACGTTGACTGCCCCACAACCCATCATCAAGGCAACACTCTCCTTACGTGTCGTCACAATGATCTTACTTCCTATATCTCCTTGAACAAAAATGTTTCTCAAGTCATCCCACTCATCATAGTTTTCATTCCAGACATCATCTAAAACAATAAGAAACTTTTTGCCTTTTAAGCTTTCCTTCAATTTGATCTGAAGCTGATTAAGATTGCTATTAACCGTACAGTCAGATGAGCTAATTTCTTGAAGTAGCTCTTTTGTTATTCTGACAGCATCATATGGTTCAGACACACAAATCCAAGCTTTTAAACCAAAATGGTCTTTTACCTTCTCATCATTGTAAACAGCTTTAGCAAGTGTTGTCTTGCCCACGCCCCCCATTCCAACAACAGGAACTACAGAGAGATTTTTTCCATTGGCATCATCAGACAATAAACGATCAATCAATTCCTCTATTTCATTCTGTCTACCTAAGATATCAGATTCATCAACCAAAGAAGTTGAAGGTCTTCTGTTATCTTGTTTACCCGAATCAAGATATTCCCTTAGGCCAAGGCGACCAATTTGCTTTTCCAACTCTTCCAATGTTTCAATGGTGTCTTCCAACTTCTCCTTTATGTTAGGAAAAAAATCATCACCCAAGCACCGGTTGAGGTCACTTACCTGCTGGTTGCTTATTGTGTTTGCAAAATTTTGATGCTGACCTTCCACCTTAAGTCTCAAAGCTTCAAAATTGACTTCTTCTATTAAGTTCTCAGCACCATCCACAGCATCTTGAATCTCATTAAGCCACTGACTCACGTATGGATTTGATGCTTGCTTATTCTGTGCATCACTTACCACAGCCTGCAGGCCAAGCAAAGTCATCCTCAGCTTCTTTAAGAGCCGAACATGATGCTTATGCTTCTGAAACATGTTGAACAGATCACCGTGAAGAGCAAGCCTATCAAAGAGAACATTCAAAGCTGAAGAGAGAAATGCACCACCAACTGCTAAGCCAATCTCCATTTCTGAAAGCTGCAAAGCAGAACAGGAAACCACAAAAATGATTTTAAGAATTTAGAAACTATTAATGTTTCTAACTTCAAATAGTCTCTACTAAGTACATTATTTCACCTGTTAAATGATAAGAGCAATTTGCAAACAAGAATGATCAGCGACTTCTCTGCCTCTATCTCTTTTGCTCGTAATTGGTACAACTATAGTTTTCTACAGCTGACAGCAATAGAAAAAAAAGAATCAAAAGATAAAACTGTCCATTTTTCTATTTTTCAAAAGTATAATTTTTCACCCAACAAGATGACAAAGACTTCTTAGTGGAGTCTGGTTTCAATTGTAAAAAGATAAGCTCACTTTTCCACAGCTCATTGTAGTGCTTAATTGGGCCTACCATATCATGAATATGTTCTAGAACTGTGAAGCACTAAAAAAGCAGATTAATTTGTTCTTGATAAAGCACATTGACAGTTCTAGTATGTGTTTTTGGAGATAATAATATGTATTTATGAAAACCTTAGGTGTCTTAAACAGGCATTACTCTATCTTGACAAAGTCTCTTCCATAATTAAGCTTTATTTATGAAAGGTGTGTTAGCAGAAACTACAAATGTCTTATAGTATTTAACAAGACAATAGACATTTTCTACTTTCTAAATTTTTCTAGAAATAAGGATAAGTACTGAAGATGGTGGTAGAGATGTTTCGTTCGAAGAATGACGCTAGTGGAGACTAATTCTTGCAAATGTAGATCATTTCATTACCACGTTTGTCTTATTTTTGTATAGTTGGAAGTCGTAGAAAAGAAAAGGACAACATCATTTTAAAAAGAGTTGAGTATCAAAAACACACCTAAACTATCTTCTTCTTTTTTTGAGTTTCATACCTAAATTATATTGGGAGTGTGAGAAACACACCTAAACTATCACTCATTAGTTTCAAAAGCACACATAAATTATCCCTTTTTTTTAGTTTCATACCTAAATTATTGGAAGTCTGAGAAACACACCTAAACTATCATTCATTAGTTTGAGAAAAGAATCTCTCCTCTTAAATTGAAATCATTAATCCCAAGAATAGGCTTAATCAGCTTCAAAATACTTGCATTAGGGACGTAGGCATGAACACGGGATGCCTTGTGCACCAGGATGCCTTTCAAGAATAGGTTAATTAAGTCTCCAAGTGTTGGTCAAGTATATGAGATTTGGATAATGACACTAATTAGAACTATCATATTTTGCCTCGTGATTTTTAAGTTAGTAACGCCAAACATGAAAAGGGTTAAAACACGTAACTACTTATTTATAAAATTAATTTTAGCACTTAAAAGTGCTTATCAACTATTTTTAATCAGCTAACTCAAATAGACTCTTAATCTCTTTGTTCTTTTTTTTTAATCAAGTACGAGATTTCATTGATACTAACAAGGTCAACTTGGCCGTATACAAGACATATACCAAAAAAGGAGAAACCTACAAAATATAATTCTCAAGACACCCAATCCTCTATATAAAATAGGAACTACATAGCTACACCAAAAGAAAATAAAGGATCGGAGACTACTCCTCAATCGAGCAAAGCTCAGCTCAGCTCCTATTGGTTGATCTTTCCCATTATGTAAGGGTATCAATTATAGTAGTGCCTGGGTAGATAACTTAAACAACATAGTGGACACTGATAAAGTTTGTATTACACAACTATTTCAAAGCTAAGTTGCACGGACTCTTCATATTTTATGCTGCACACTATTTTTGGAGAATCCGGCACACACCCGTTGACATTTTTGAAGAGTCCGACCAACACAGCTTCAAAGTAAACAGAATGTTTATCATATAGATAGTCATTATCAAAAATACCACATGTATATACACATTAGACTTCATATTAGCTTTGGATTTTGCCTGTACATCAGAGATACAAATACATATGATGAGCTAATGATAATTATTAAGAGAGTCTGAAGTATTTAAGAGGAGCTAACTAACATCACTCAATATGTGACCTAATGGTTAATGAAGTGCATTCAAAATCATGAGATCTCAAGTTCAAAACTCAACAAAGGCGAAACGTGGAATTCTTTGATACACTACTATCAAATTCAAATACTCCTTCCGTCTACTATTACTTGTCCAGTTTAGAAAATCAATGTATAATTTATTACTTAGTTCATAATTTACCTTGTTATTATAAGAGGGAGTTGCTCGGAAGAAGGGGTAAAAATTGAATTTCTTATATTCAAATTGTCGTTCTACTGATTTTTTTAATAGATATGTCAAGTCAATACTGAACAAGTAAAAATAAACGAGAGAGTACTTTTTGTCGAACTATTTTACCTCTTTTGAAGAAAAACCCCAAATATTAGAAAGCTTCCAAAACTTCAAATTCACCAACTTACAACCCAAAAAAACTTCTATTTGCTACAGGTGCTAGTTGATTTTGGGCGGGAGATTCCCGGGTTGTTTCAATAATATATGAAAAAAGAGAAAAAAAACTAAAAATATGCAAAATTGAACAAAAATGTGTATTTTTATTGTCTTCTTATTATTGATACTTTAATTTTAAAATGCCCTATTATAACTGGATTAAGAAAATAGTCATGGAATGTCTATTTGTTATTTATTTTTTAATGGTCATTTGTTTTTTTAAGTGAATAAATAAGCTCATGCTTGTTCGATCTAAAATAGATATTGTCACATCATAATAAAAGTGTATTTGAGTAGCTATCAATAACTCGTTTGATAAGTATTTTTCAAAAATTATTTTGAACCTAACCCTTAGCCATAAGGGATCTTTTTGTCATTTTCTCAATATCAAAATTTATCACTAATCATATTTTTTGATGATTAGCAACAAACTATCAAAAAATAAATTTTTATAACTCCAATTATGTTATTGTGGAAACAGGATCCCATATTCACACTGATAATTAAAGCAAATATAAGGTTTTTAACATGTTTAACTTTTTTGCAGTATTTATAGTATGTTTATTATATATATGCACATGTATTACCTTGTATTATAGCATATCACGCTGAAAATATGCAAAAAGAAACAATAAAAAAATAGAAAAAGTTAAGTTCATACATTATTTAAAGAATGGTGGAATTTATAAATTTGAAATTGAATTAAGAAATCAAATTTGCGGCAATGTTTTATACACTCTCTCTCCGTCCACTTTTTACATGTTAACTATACTTGCTAAAAATAAAGGGAAAAAGGGTCTGAAAAATACTTTAACTTTGGCCGAAATTGTTGTTACGATACCAAATTTTATAGAGGATCTTTTACCCCTTCACTATTTAATAGTGTATTTAAAAGGTATATATGTGCCCACGTGAACATGTTTTTATTTATAATTGTGCAATATTTATGATGTCCACGTGGGCATATATATATCTTTAAAATACACTATTAAATAGTGTAGGGGATAAAAGGTCATTTCCATTGTCACTTAAACTTCCAACCCATGGTTGATGATATGATACAACAAGGACCTAAACACCTCTCTAAACTTCTTGAGAACTCATTTTCAAAAGCAATATCATATCATCAGCCATGGGTTGGAAGTTTAAGTGACAATGCCACCATCCATTGTGACGACACTGGGGCTGAGTTCTTTGAAGTTGAAGTTAATTGTCCTATGAATCAAGTCGTTCATCACCCAGACTTAGCATTTCCTCCAGGGCTACCCTGGAGGAATGTTCCTCCAACACATGATGGTGGTTGTTTGAGTGTAGCTCAACTCAACCACATTGAGTATGGAGGAATAGCAGTCAGTATCTGCATGTCACATAAGGTGGGTGCACTTTTTTACAAATGAGGTTGTAAGTGCACTTTTTTACAAATGTGCAGCAACTGCAGGTGCAAACTTATCAAATACTGGTAATAGTAGTAATGATTCTTCGTCTCAATTGGTCTAGGTATCAGATTTACGAAAAACAATTCCACCTTCAATACAATCAACCACCACAATAGGAAATATTCTCACCGCGTTCTCCACACCAACATATAACCTAGAAGACCTTAGGTTACCAAAGTTAGTATTTGATATAAGAAAGTCCAAACTCGAGCTTTCTAACAAAGATAATTTCAAAAACAACACATGGATATCAGAAATGTTGGAATACACAAATAAAGTTAATACAGGAATAGAGGATGCTCAATCGTATCTCCAGAAGAGTTCATGTCACGATGTGTATCGTTGTAGTAGCATCTGTAACATGCCATATCAAGATTTGGATTTTGGATGGGGGAGGCCAAGTAGAGCAAGCATGGCAAGTGCTCCATTTAACAATGTGTTATACTTGATGAATACACATGATCAAAGTAAAGGAATTGAAGTGTTTATCAACTTGAATCAACAACAAATATCCATTTTTGAACAAGACAAGGACCTTCTCCAATTTGCTACTCATGTTAATGATGATGATGTTCATGATGAGGAAGAGAAATATTGCATAGCTTACTAAAATTATTGCAAGTGAAGAAATTATTAATTCTTGTGTAACCCTTTTTGAATTTCTCAACTATAATAATATATAAAAATAATAGTATCTATGGGAAAAGGACAATCTAATGCTTTCACATTATTGTTTGTTGAGTATTATTTTAAGAAGTATTTTTGAGTAAAAAAAAAAAAGATTTAAAGATATTTTTAGACCAATAGATGAATGAAAGATATTCATGAAATAACACAATTTTTCGCTCTTATTTTGATTGACGGCTATATAATGTAACACATTTATTAGCTATTATTTTGATGAACGGCTATACCATAGAATACATTTGTCAGCTATTAACGACTATACAATATATACGATTCCTTAAAAATTAGCTAAATAACCTAGTAGTATAACATGACCGATTGATTTTATCCCAAAACTCAATATATTAACCCAACTAACTTTTGACGATTCAAATAATTGATGGTTACTTCTTTGCTTGAAATATAATTCAAGTCAAGGGACAAATTAAATTGATAAAATTAAAGTCCCTCTTAAACATTCGATTAAAAACATG